TCTGAGCACTGTTTGCCAACCACAGCTCTATGCCAGTGGTCAGCAAACTGCGGCCCCTTGAGTGTGGCTTTTCCACAAAATACCACGTGTGGGCGTGCGCGCACAGTGCAATTGAAACTTCATGGCCACATTCAAGGGGCCAAAGAGCCGCATGTGGCTCGCGAACCGCAGTCTAGCCAGTGGTTCTCAACCTTGGCTGAACATTAGAATCACCTGGGAATCTTTTTAAAATCCTGATTTCTGGGCCTCATCCTCCGGAAATTCTGTTTCTTTGTTACTAATGTTGTGGCCCCACCTCATAACAAAGAAACAGAATTTCCAGAGGATGAGGCCCAGAAATCAGGATCTTAAAAAGATTCCCAGCTGAAACCGGTTTGGCTCAGTGGATAGAGCGTCGGCCTGCGGACTGAAAGGTCCCAGGTTCGATTCCAGTCAAGGGCATGTACCTGGGTTGCGGGCACATCCCCAGTAGGAGATGTGCAGGAGGCAGCTGATCGATGTTTCTCTCTCATCGATGTTTCTAACTCTCTATCTCTCTCCCTTCCTCTCTGTAAAAAATCAATAAAATATATTTTTTAAAAAAAAGATTCCCAGGTGATTCTAATGTGCAGCCAAGGTTGAGAACCACTGGTCTAGGCCCTAGGGCAGTGATGGCGAACCTATGACACGCGTGTCAGAGGTGACACGTGAACTCATTTTTTTGGTTGATTTTTGTTAAATGGCATTTAAATATATAAAATAAATATGAAAAATATAAGTCTTTGTTTTACTATGTTTGCAAATATCAAAAAATTTCTATATGTGACACGGCACCAGAGTTAAGTTAGGGTTTTTCAAAATGCTGACACGCCGAGCTCAAAAGGTTCGCCATCTCTGCCCTAGGGTCATAAATTTGTCAGCTGCAGAGTATCTCCTGAGACAAGCGGGGTGCTCTCAAACAGCCCAGGGCATTCTATAAAAGGTAGTTTCACGCCTCAAGCAGTAAAAATGACCACATCTGGGAGACATGGACTATTCTATCCTTTCAGACAGCTGAACCACAATTGCTCCCTTCAATCTAGCAATTTTCCACTAAAAGTGCAAGGGGATCTGGACTTATCAATCAGCCTATACTACCTGGCTCTCTATAGAGTTAGTTTATAAGAGGAAGTGCTTGCTCTGACCGGTGGGCTAAGTGGTTAGAGCAGCCGTGGGCAAACTACGGCCCTTGGGCCGGATCCGGCCCGTTTGAAATGAATAAAACTAAAAAAAAAAAAAAGACCGTACCCTTTTATGTAATGATGTTTACTTGGAATTTATAATAGTTCACACAAACACTCCATCCATGCTTTTGTTCCGGCCCTCCGGTCCAGTTTAAGAACCCATTGTGGCCCTCGAGTCAAAAAGTTTGCCCACCCCTGGGTTAGAGCATTAGCCTGTGCACTGAAGGGGGAGTTCAATTCCTGGTCAAGGGCATGTACCTGGGTTACAGGTTCAATCCTCAGCCCTGATAGGGGCATGTGCACGAGGCAACCAATTGATGTGTGTCTCTCACATTGATGCTTCTCTCCCTCTCTCTCTCTCCCCTTCCATCCCTCCCTCCCCCTCTCTCAAAACCAATGGAAAAAAAAATCCTCAGGTAAAGATGAACAAAAACTTGGAGATAAAACCAAGGAAATTTAAGTAAATGCCATCATGCTCATTCAAAATGGCCTACTGAAATGACAGGGGGAAAAAGCACAAACAAATGCAACTTGAATCCTTTACTGAAAGAAACGAAGGAAATTATAATCTAGGAGGCTAGAAAGCCAGAGCACGCCCTCTTCTCCTACCTGAAAGTCCATCAGATCTGTCTGTAGAACAGAAGAAAATGAACCCTGTGGGCATCTAGGCATCTATATTTGCATAAATTTATATTCATGGTTGCTTTTGTTTTCTTTTTGGTTTTTCCCTCGGCTGAAGGAGGGGAGAAAGAAACAATGCTGAGAGTGGGGTGTGGCAGAGAGGTTCTGCCTAGGAGCCGGGAGGAAAGAAAAGGAGGAGGAAGGACTAACTACTCACCCTCCAGACACCAGGGCTGGATTTGACTCTAAGGAGGAGGGGCCCAAAGAGGATGGAAGGGGCTGTTTTCCTAAGGGCTGTTGTGTGCCTGGAGGTTGAGGCATTGCTTCACGGGGCCCAGGTGACGGAGTGAAGCACAGTTGGGAGGAGAGGCGTTCTACCCTCTTCTGGAGGAGCCGAGTGCCTTTTCACCACCTTGAAGATTCACAGCTGTGGAGGCAGTTGGGGCACGGAGACGTTGACGGGTCCATTTTCAGTCTCACGATGGGCATCATTGGCGGTTACTGTCCACCAGCAACAAAAGGAAGCCGGTGAAATGGAAAAGCTTGGCAGACAGACTGGTTGGGGAGCACAGGTAAGTCATACCTGATACCCCAACATTTGGAGGCTTTGCAGGGAAACCTCGATTCCAGCACAAGGAGGGAAATCACCGGAACCCTGGATTGCTACTGCCAACGGAAGTTCTTCTGAACTTCCAGCCACCGATGAGGAGGTAGGAGGCCAGGGAATCCGATTACATAAGGAAAGCAAGCATGGCCGGTGCCCAAGGAAACTGTGAAACCCCACAGAGGCTGAAGTATAAATCTGAGATTAAACTGTGGTTTGGAAATTGGAATCATCCATTGAAACCTTGGTGACCAGTTAATCTTATTGTCCCTCAACAGCAGAAACTTAGTGGACTTGAATTTGAAAATTGCTTCACTAGAACTCTTCCCCATGTCTCTACCTCTGTGCATCTTTTAGCTTTGCATTTGCAATGATAAAACTGTAACCCTAGGTACCAACTGCTTTAACTCTCAGTATGGAGTCAGTTTCCCAAAGAGGATGGTGACAGGACCAATTCACCATTATTGCCCAGAGGCACAGCTCTCCTGCCTCACAGGCTTCTTGCCAACCTGTAACTGAGTGTCCATAAGCCAGGTCCGCCCCCCCATAACGTCAGATGTGACCAGGGTGGAAAGGTGATTTGACAGCAAACGAAGACGTGGCAAAAAAGAAACCCCTGAAATGAAGGCCATGGAAGGTGACAGTTATTGGGGCTGTTCACGAATGTACCCATCCCCCTGGGCACAGGGCAGGATCAAACATCCAGCATCCACACTGACCACATCACTTGCTTTGACATGTCACATCCGGGTGAACATTTTCATGGCCCTCGTATGATTCATCCTGTTCTCTTAACCCCGTACAGCTGTGTAAAAGAAATGTTGGGATGGGTCCCTGAGTGCCTGTACTAAGCAGAAACTGTAAGAGTTAGAGGTGAGAGCCAGAGGAATAATGTTTATTACTATTGATATAACTCTCTATTTATCTCCTGAAAACATGGGATATATTTACATCAGAAAATACATTTGAAACTTTCCCCACCCCCCCAAAAAAAACACTTTATAGGACGTAACATATTCTAAGGAGTTTGTTATTTTTATCCTAAAGGATTTTGAGTAAGTCAATTCTTTTAGCTTATATTCAACATGAATCTGACACATAGCAAATCATATTTTGTGGCAAATAAGATTATAGACATTTCCATTATATAATGACTGTAGCATGATCTAGAAGTTTATGTCTCCTTCAGAGAGTATACAACACAGAGATGTAAATTCTTTTCATCGTAATTCTGCATAAATGCATTGCCAAACTTGGCTCTTGAAAGTGATAAAGTGCAGATGTCTACAGCTGCAATCATAAAAATGTAATTGCTGAGGAAAAATATTTCTGATCCATTGGAGGAATTTATTACAGAGGGATGCAACTTTGTAAGTTATCACACAGAAAAAAATGAAAGTGAATGATTGAAAGATATCCCAGGCTGAACATTCCTGCAAAATGACCTAGTGATTTACCTGTGCCCAGAAAGGAAAAAATAGATTAGAGATAAATCAAGTTTGGTGGGAAAGGCTCTGGTAACTATAAGAAGAGCAGAAAAAAGATTTACGAATAAATGAATTTAGAAGTCAGAGTAACATAATAGTATTGTGACCAATACTCCAAAAATTAAAATGTAATTTTGACTTTGAGTTATACACCGAGGTGGTAAGTAATATCCGTGAAACCTTAAAAGCAAAGGAATATAAAATGAAGATAAATAATGAGGAAAGGTGAGAATTTTTCTAATACAACTACTAAATTAATAGCTTTATCTAGTGGTGCTATCCATTTAAAGATCATGAACTTCTTTTGGAATGTTTTCCAATATAACCAGAGAATATATTACATATATAGGTGCTTTGAAAACTACATATACATATTATTACTGCTGTTGCTTTTAAAAGAAAATCAGGGGGGAGAGCTTTCAGAATTTTATTATTATTACTAAATACAGACTTTTTTACATTTTAACAATACTTTAAATGATAATTTTAGATGCCATTCATTTTATAAAAATCAAAGCTTCTCTTGGTTCATTATCTATTTTTCCCACATTTTTTAAATTCTTCTGCAGTTACTCTACGTTGCAATTTCCATGCAATTAATACCTGGATTATGAGAGGCTCCAGCAGCTTCTCTACAGTGAATGTTTGGACCTGCAGATCCTGGGGGTCAATATTCAGTGTGACTGGTGTTTCAGCTGACATGCTGCCTGTGCACAAAAACAAAATACATTTATTAATTTTTAAAAAAATGTTCTAAAGGAAGGTACTAATTAAAATCAGAGAGTGCGTGAGATTTCAGGCCCTCTTCCTAGTATCAGCTGTAGCCCTCCGAGGACCAAGTTGTCAAGTCCACCGACAGAGAAGTGAGATATTCTCCAAGTGTTCTTAGAGGTCGTGCTGTCTGAGCTCAGGTCCTCTAACTAATTCATCTGTGCTAGCATATCCATGACTGAAATAATCACTCCGCCCAGGAGGCTTTGCATTTGATCAGGAGTCTTGGTGAAAAGGAATGGCCAAGCTGGTGAGATACACCTCACAAGACCTTTGACTTCCAGGACACCATGGCCCTGAGGCAGCCAGAGCCCATAGCTTCCCTGTTCTTGTTAATGGTGACTCAGATGAGGAGCCAGGTAGGACTTGATAAGACATCTGACACATCTCTACTTGTTTGGGGTATTGTTTGAGGATTTTGATTGGAGAAGAAAGTTGGAGGCAATTTACTTTCCTGTACAGAAAAGAAACTAATATAAATTGGCATAGTTATAAAAAGAAAGAAGCAGCTCTGAGAAGACATTGATAATAAGTGTAATTTAAAAATTTATGTAGACTTACAATTAAATAAATCATATTTAAAATAAAGATAATAAATTCTCGAAAAATAAAAAAATAAATGTATAGTCCACAGAAATGTGTATTACTATCAATGCAAAAATCTTCCCACTTAGCTATTACCCATTTTCTTCTATAATTTCTCATATTTGCAGGCTAGGAAAACATAAGAATCTTCCCCTAGGAAGGATCCTGATATTCTCTATGATACCTGTAGACACTAAAACAAAAAAAGAAATAGAGAATATTACTTTCATTTTAGTTTCTCTATTTATTATTGTAGGTATAAGGGCGAATAATTGTTTCCTCTTTAATTTTTTGATTGGCTCTATGAATGGACTGATGATGGATTTATAGATGAATGAATGGATGGATGCATGAATGAGTAAATGAATGAATGAATGAATGAGTATACATTTTCATGGTATCTCTCTTATCCAGAATCAATCCCTTCAAGGTTCCTCTGAATCTCAGTGATTCTAGAGGAGAGGACTGTTGTTTTTCTTATACCCCTGCCTCCAACTCCTAAGAGATACCAGAATCTCAGGGTAGGGCTCATGTTTCCTCCCAGCTCCTTCCCCTGACAGTCTACCCCGATTCTCTTCCTAGCTTTTTTCAACTCCCACTGACCTAACACCATAAAATCAGCATCTCTTTGCTCTTCAACCTCTCCCACTCTACTGGATCCTTTTCCTGAACCCATAAATGTGTTACATATATATTCAAAGAGAATCATGATCTCTCTCTGAGTGTGTCAGTGAAAAGCTCAGTGCTTCACAAGGCTCTTCCACACTGTAGACCTGATACCCAGCAGAGAGAGATTCACACACACACACAACCATCCTATAACTAAACAATTATCCTCATTGATTCTTATCTTGACATACTCTAATTGTTACACTAATAACATAATTTGGTTTTTTTTAAATAGAGACAAATACTGAAGAGTCCAGAAGCCTTACTGCTCTTCAGATGTTGTGCCACATGACTACGCTTCACAATTCTTTGACTATAAAAATGGATATTTGAAGTATTCTTTTTTTAATATATTTTATTGATTTTTTACAGAGAGGAAGGGAGAGGGTTAGAGAGTTAGAAACATTGATGAGAGAGAAACATCGATCAGCTGCCTCCTGCACGCCCCCTACTGGGGATGTGCCCACAACCAAGGTACATGCCCTTGACCAGATTCGAACCTGGGACCCTTCAATCCACAGGCTGATGCTCTATCCACTGAGCCAAACCGGTTAGGGCTGAAGTATTCTTGAGAATAAAGGAAATCTGCCAACAGGCTGTCCCCAGTGACTTAACATAAAAATGTGCACATAATGAAAATAATGGATTTCAAATATGATTCTCCTCAAATATACTCACATAACTTATAATTCTTTCATGTGTCTTTAGCAAAGTTTGATATTAAAAACAAAGAGAAATACTCAAAAACTCTAGAAAAAAAACACTTATGACAAATTTAATAATCTATGAAAGCATTTAAGTAAAATTACATACTCCAAAGTTGACTATTACTAAAAACACTAATGCATACTAATTATTTTGTGTATAGCATTGAGACATTTTTCTAGTCAATTCAGGAAATTATAATAACAAATTTGAAATGAGGAGAAAAAAGACAACTTATGTGTTGAGTGTCCTAAGATTACTCTATTCATGTTTTCAAGTAGCTATAATATATTACTTATTTATCTACTAAAAACTACTGTAAATGTTGAGGGTTTTATATAAAACCTAATGACATTGTTGATTGCAAAGACAGAGTACACATTGTTAAATGGAGCACATTTCTAGATAGTTTAATTTAAATTAAAACAAATTTCTTTACTTTTAAGTTTTTTTTACTCTTTAAACCCTATTTTTACCTTGAAAAAATCATTATTCAAGGTGTGTTAAGTGAAAAAATATTATTTGAATATCTTTTCAATGAAAGTATAAATTACTATTATTATGCTACTAGAGGTCCAGTGTACGAAATTCATGTATGGGTGGAGACGCTAGGCCTGGCCAGCGATCAGGGCCTATCAGGGCTGTCTCATACAGTCCTGTTGGGGCCAGGCTGGCTGGGGGATGCCAGCTGCCAGCTGCTAGCCAGGGTCTGGGGGCCTGCAAGCTGGGGCCTGGGGGCCTGCCAGCTGCCAGACGGGGCCTGCCTGCTGGACAGGGCCAGTGGGACAGGGGGAGGGATGGGAGGAGGGACCACAGGAGGTTTGCTGGTGGTGGGGAGGGACCGGGGGAGGTTGACTGGCCATGGGAGCTTGGAGGTTGGCTATGGGAGCGCGTTGAGCGTCTTCCCCGTGGTGGTCAGTGCACATATTAAAAACACAGTTGACCAGTCGTTCGGTCGTAACAGTCGCTTAGGCTTTTATATATATATGACATGTCCTATATAATAAAAGCCTAATATGCTAAGTGTCCAACCGTTCGTTCAACCATTTGACCAGTCACACTGACCACCAGGGGGCAGACGCTCCCACTGGTAGGTTAGCTTGCTGCTGCGGTCCAGCTGATCAGGACTGGGCAAGACGGGCCGGACATGCCCTGGAGCCATCCTGTGGTCCCTCCCCAGCCCCAATCATGCACCAGTGGGGGTAACTTGAGCCCGGCTGCGCCCAGGTGCAGCAAGCTCCCCGGATGTGGCTGAAAAGGTCAGCACGGCTAATCCATCTCTAAGCTGTATGTTGCATACGCCTGTAAGGAAGTAGTGCACTTGAGCAACGTCAACTCTGATTAACATGGACTCACTCCGAGAAGTTACCGCGTCAGATCACGATGTGGAGTGCACCTACCAAATACGGCCAGGTACATACGAAGGCATTGGATATAGTGATTTGCCGGCCCGTCTGGATCCCAATAACAGAGCGCAGACATGATGATTCGGTCGAGAGGGAAACCCAATTCTATGAGACCCGTGAGAGCGTAGCGCACTCCTGATTTATTGACTCTGAACTGAAAAACAACATGTAC